TGTGAGCCACTCCGCCCAGCCTAGAAATTGTATTTTTCATCTCAGTAGTGCAGTCACTTGTAATTTCTTATTGTTTCATTTTTGTGCCTTTTAATGTACTCTAACCAATGCAATATACTCATTTCTTTCAGGAAATAAAAACAAATTTCCCAGATTTTTCCCATTTTTGGCAGTAAACCTGTTTTATAAAAAGACTTTTGCTTGGTATCTTCAGAGTGGCCCCCTTTTATCTGCAATATTTCTTCATAGATTTAACATCTTTCCTCTGTGCATGTTTACAAAGGATATTTGTTTAGTGATGCTCTGTTTTATAAAAAGTGATTGCCAGAGGTGGTTGTAAGACTCTGGGGGCAGATACTAAACCCTATTCACTTATGACTTGGGTTTTGTGACAAAGACAGAGGCCCACGCAAGGTCTGATTCGCCACCATCACACAAAGCTAGGACCTCCAGAGATGACAACTGTGGTCACTGAATTAGTAAAGCCCACATCTGCAAAGGGACAATGTGGGCATATTTGACTTTTTTGGCCATGACTTTGGGTAGAGCAGTAAAAAAAAGGGCAAAGTCTTCATTCATGATTTCTAAACACAGCCCTATTTTCAAGCAGATTTGGAATCACAATTCAAAATGTACCTGTAGCCCAAAAGCCCTTAAGCCAAAAATGCTATCTTCTATAGTGGTCCCTGATTGATAGTGTCCTCAAATACGTAGGGGAGAAAAATAATAGTTCCAACTGGAGAAAAGAGCACTAAAACCAATCTACAAAAACAGACTTTAATGTTCAAAATAAAGTTTAGAATTTTAAAAATTATGAAATAACTTATCAAACAGGCCTGTACTATTGACACTCAACAGAAAATCAAACTAATGAATGATGCCCAGATACACTGCATAGGCAGGAATAATCCGGTATGGTAATATAAAATAACCATGTTTATACGTTTTTCAGAAATGGTTTTGAGATGAATAAGTTTACAAGCAGATTCAATCTAGTTGGAGAAAGAATTATTAATATGGAACAAAAATGTGAAAAAATCAGAATACTACAGTTAAACAAAGAAATAGAAAATAAGAAAGTAAGGTGAAGAGATGTGGAGGACAGAGGGAAAGCAGAACACGTACATTGAATATTAACTTATCTCTGATTTCCTTGACAGAGATAAAGGAGAGGCAATATTCAAAAAGATCATGGATGACATTTTCCTAGAATTATTGAAACATACTAATTATCCTGTCAATAAATTCCAAATAAAAGAAATGAAAATAAATTTAAATCTACTTCAGAAAATCCAAGATAAAGAGAAGATCTTAAAAACTGCTAACCTCAGTTCCACCATTCATTCGTAGGCATATATAACTTTTAAAACATTTTTTTTCAAGTAGCAATAATTTCTTAAAGTTTTCTTTAAAATGTCTTAAATATGTGGATATTTTTCTTGACGAGATTATAGATCCCTTTCTTCTGCAAATACTTATGTTTCTTTGGCAAACTATGGCAATGAAGTCTGAAAGAAGTGAGTGTGGAAGGGAGTGGGGTCTGAGGATCGTCACCTTTGCTTTCATTGCCAAACCTTTGGTATAAATTGTATGACTGCATGCTTTGTACCTTAATTTCATTCAACTTTATTTAAATCATGAGCATTTTTCATATTGCTAAATGGTTATTATAATTATAATTTTAATAGCTTCCTTATAGTCCATCAGATTTATTCCATGACAATTTCCTTCACCATTCCTCCCTTATTAGACACTTACGCTTTTATTTCCCTCAAATTTGCATCATTATATGTAATACAGTCATCATAGACATTTGTATGCCTATAGCTTCTCTTTTATTTTGGTTCAGTTTTAGGAAGGGTTCTCTGAAGTGACGTTACTATGTCAGATGTTACGGAGCCACTGCCCTGAAGCTGTCAATAAATTTACACTTCCCCCAGCCAGGTGTTTTCATATGTGCCAGTTTCAGCATGAGGGTTACCACAAAGTATTATAAGTTTAGAATACAGGCCGAGTGCTGTGGCTCACACTTGTCATCTCAACATTTTGGGAGGCTCAGCCAGGTGAATCACCTGAGGTCAGGATTTTGAGACCAGCCTGGCCAGTATGTTAAAACACTGTCTCCACTTCAATTACAAATATTAGCTGGGCATGGTGGCAGTCATCCATAATCCCAGCTACTCAGGAGGCTGAGGCAGGAGAATTCTTTGAACGTAGGAGGCAGAGTTTGCAGGGAGCCGAGATAGGTGCCACTGCACTCCAGCCTGGTCAAGGAGAGTGAAACTCCAACTCAATACACACACACACATACACACACACACACACACACACACACACACACACAGAGAGAGAGAGAGAGAGAGAGAGAGAGAGAGAGAGAGAGAGAGAGACTATCAATATGCAGAGTGTAGAAGGCATTTTTATTTAAATAATGAAATGGAACATTTTCCCACATTTGCTTATTAATTTTTTTCTCTTTTGCTCACCAATTACCAGTACTTAGGCTATTTAAACATCTTTTTTGGACCTGATGTTTGTCTTACAGATATCTAACATAGATATTCTTCTTTTGTGGTGAGTTATCAAGAAAAGCTGTTGAAAAACACATAGAGGGTTGTGCTGGTAAGCTTTGCTTACTAATACTATGCATAGGTAGGGACCTGTGTTCCCTAGCAGCACTGGTTTTAGAATACCAGGGTGTTAGCCACTGTCAGCTTGCTTGACACTCATTTCTAACCCGTCTTCTCTCTTCTCTGCCTCTTTTAAAGAGGTTGAACTGGCTGGAACGTTCAGTGACCAGCCCATGGCAAAGCTGGAGGTGGTTTTATGATAAAGCCTGGCCAATAAAATATAAGCAGGAGTGTGCTGCTGCCTTTTCCTCACATTTTCTCTTTCTTTTTTCTCAGCTGAATGATGTGCTCACTGGAGCCATAGCAGGCAGCATGTAATCAGACTGAAAAAAAAAAAAGAAAAAGAAAAGAAAAAGCCAGGAGAATGGCAGATAGCGTGACCTTCATTTTATTAAATTGCTGAAATAATGCCATGAACCTTCTACCTTTCCCTCAAATTTGTTTTCGTGCAAAATAAAACCTTATTTAAGTCGCTATAGTCAGACTTTGTGTTACTTTCCAACTGAGACCTCTGAGCTGGGTGGGAAGGGAGTTGGATCTTTTTATTTTATTTTATTTTATTTTATTTTATTTTATTGTGTTTTAGGTTTTGGGGTCCATGTGAAGAACATGCAGGATTGTTGCATAGGTGCATACATGGCAATGTGGCTTGCTGCCTTCCGCCGGAGTCCTACTCTCATTTCCCTTCTCACTGGGACCTTCACTTTCTTCCAACCAAGCCAGCCGTTCTAGAATTTTATAAAAGTAACCTAGGAAAAGGGGTGGGGAGAGAATCAGACCTCAGAGCTTTAGAAAAGAGACTCAGATTTCTCTCTAAAAAGTGGTATTTTCTATTGACTAAAGAAAAAAACAACTTGTTCAACATCTGTCTTTCCCTTCTGACTGCTGTTGCTTAAGGAGGAGCTGCCTTCCCTCAACTCTGAAGTAATGTCTCCTTTCTTTAGGAAAACAGATTTCAAAACATGCAGCAAATCAAGTTTTCAAACAGCTGAAATAAACTTAAGGATTTTCTACCTTTTTCATGATTTTAGCCAGGAATTCTTTTGTGAGGCTTATGATTTTCCAATTTGGAAATTTGTTTCTCCTTGGGGTGCTTATGAGCAATCTTTTTAAATTCTTATTGTCCCATTCCCATCCTCCATAATCAATCACTATTATTTGGATGTGAAAAATCTATTTTTAAAAAATGATCCACTATTGATTATTTTTTATTTAGGTCAAATATACTTTATAAACAGGAAGATCTCAAGACCACCCTGAATTCTATCATATTAAACATCTTTATAGGAAAAGAGACAGATAAATTGAGTGAATATTGATCAATACTGTGGGGATTTTGAAACATTACTTGGTACCAGATGCTTAGGTATGGAGGGGAGAATTATGGTTCTATTTTACGGAAGAGAAAATTAAGGCAAATAAAGTTTACTGAGCCCAAGACCACACAATTAGAAACTAATGAAACCAGGATTCATGCTTAATTCTGATCTAACTTCAAAAACCATGCACTTTCTGTCTCACCACAATGGTGTCTCTCTAGTAGCTATGCGGCATTTTATGTTGAGTAGTCAAGCTTGAATTTACTTATTAGCCTCTGGTACTTACTAGCTGCTAGGCCTTGGATAAGTCACTTGTATTCACGAGTCTGGATCCCCTTATCTGTGGAATGAACAGTCTATACCTCACAGGGCTTTGGTAATGATCCACTGAGTTAACGCAAATGAAAGAGCTCCGAATGGCACCTGTCATGCAGTACGTGATTAAGTTTTGTCAGTTATTATTATTATCTGTTTCTTCATGAATTATACTATAGAATACATGTTATGACTTTGTTTTATGCATATCTGAGTACAGCTGAAGAGGGCATTCTAACTGAATGCTGTTTTTTTTTTTTCTTTAAAGTTTCAGTGTTTAGTATTTATATATGAAAGATTTTCCCTACTCTTCACCATTGGCTGATAAATTCAGGGGAAGGAAAAGGTATCTCTTAGTAAGGATGGTTTATGAACTTTTGTTTCAGCAGTAAAACCCTTTTTAAAAATACAGATAAAGCATTGCTGCTTTGACCATGGTGTGGGAAGGGGACAGACTCCTGGATCTCCATATACTCCCTTTCCCTTTATAACTCCTACCAGCTCATTATTGTCATAGGGGTACTTCTGGGGAGCCCTGGATGTCAACATCACACAAACAGAACCACCAATCCACAATGCACACAAAAAAACACAGTGGACAGTGACTGACAAATATAATTAATTCTCACTGTCTGCAAAAGGCCTGTGTGTAGGAGTCCTTCTTCCCAATTTCAAAGTATCACCACTCAAGCTCCCATTATACATTGCCACAGTTAATGCTTTGTTTAACTGGCAGGGTCTACAGTTTGGTACCAGAGAACTGGAGGAGATGGGAGCCATGTTCTGCTTGGGCCTCCTCATCCTGGAGCTCAAATCTGCCAGCTGCAGCCATCAGCTCCTTGCTCAAGCTGCAACTCTGCTGAGTGCTGAGGAGGAGGCTCTGGACCAGCACCTCCAGCGGTAAGATGCTCCCAAGGGCTCAGAGAAATCTGGACCTTGGTGTTTCCATTGCTGAATATCTCAGTAATGAAAGTCGAGTAGACCTAGGGGTTTTTACACGAGAGACAGTATGGAAGAACTGCCAAGTAAAGGTAGGTGCAGTTACGCCGCACTGGATGACCCATGCCAGGGACATCCTTGTTTCCTACTGATGATAAAGAGGATGCTGCCTGTTTGTACATGCATATGCAAATATAAAACTGTATGTATTTAAACATATTTCCAGTTAACACATTTTCCTTATGATAAAGATGTGGCTTGGTTACACACATGGATATCTACATATGCTTGTATTTGCCAGTTTGTGTTTATGTATATATAGAAAACATTTTTTTGAGCCATTACTCAGCAAAAAAAAAAAAAAAAGCAGTCAAATTGACAATATCTAGGCACCTGGAGACAAGAAATGTTTTACTCTTCCCATCTTCAAACAGCATCATTCCTTCTTGGAAGATGAAGAGAAGGATCTGGAGATGATTAACGCATTGGCTCAGAGAACCGGACTCCTAGCCATGGCAGGGAAAGGATGGATCTCTGAAAACCGTGGGGTTATTAATGAGCCAAGTGAGGGAGAATAGTTATCCAAATGAGCCCTTTTGATGTTCTTTTCTGTAGAGGAATATTTTAGACTTGACCAAAAGAAATTCGGAGGGCAAGAGGGGAAGAAATAATGGGCATGTGAGAAGAGAGAGGATGGCCGGGAGTCCAAGAAGCCAAAGGGGGCTAAGTCATTGCCCACCCTTTGAGTGTCAGAATGGATGAGGAAACTGAGCTGTTGGGGAAGTGTCTGCTGGTAAATGAGGAGGGATCTGGTCATGAGGTTCATATCCAAAGGCAGACAGAAGGACCATTATCAAAACTGATGCCATCTTATTTCTAGCTCATTTTCATGAAATTTCCTCCTACTTCTGTTAGGCTGCTGTTGTAGTGTGACTTCTTACTGAATGGCCAGTGAAGCCCAGAAAGACCTAGCAGTGTGCCTTAATACTGCATTGGAAGGCCCTGGTTTTTCTGAGACTTAATTACCTAAATGCAATAATTAACTTGCTCATCACACCAGGCTGTAGATCACAGACTATAGAAACTGAAATGAGTGCAGGGCTCTTTTCTCCATAGGTCTGATGCCACTGATGTATTTTGACATCACAGCCACTTCTGCCTGCCCCTCCTCCTTTCAACACTCCTCGGTGTCTGAAGGCTTCATGTGTTTGGTCTCACTGTGGTGTGTTGAGACTCTTCCTCTGACAGCAAGCGCTTCCACCTGCCAGCATGTATATTTCAACTTGTCTTTTCATCTTTTCCTTTGCTAAGCCATCTTGGGTGTAGGCATGCCTGAATTTTCTTTCTTTCTTTCCCCTTTCCCCCCTCTCTCCTCTGCCGCTCATTGAGGGAAGACTGAGCAGGACTGGCTCTGCTTGCTGGTGGCTTTCGTCAAATTGATTGCGCCCGTCTGTTTGATCCAATGCAGTGAGGATTAGTTTGCCTGCAAACTGGAACAAAAAGAAATCTGTCAAAGAAATGCCTTTTCTAATTCAAGTCTAAAGAATTTGATGTCAGGCTTCAAATACAATGGCTGCTCTATAGGTTATCATAAGGAGCTAGTATTATTTACCCCCACCCCTCCACACCGCTTCACACAACCGTGAGTTTTCCCACTGCATCCTGTCCAAGGGTATTGAAGCCAGAGGTCCTCCCATGACCTCTGACCCTTCCTAGGCTGGTGCTGCTTCCTAAAGGCAAGATACCTGTAAACAGCGTGTGATTAATATGTCTCCTTTGAATAGATTTGAATTATGTTTGACTGGCATGGAGTTTGGTGGAGATCAGCAGGAATGAAACTACCTATTTGACCCAGACATTTGTATAGTAATATATTTTCCTGTTCATTACGAAACAGTTGACCACACAGATTGTGATTCTTGCCCAAAGGACCTGAAGACTACATGGTTGAGGGGGAAATCACCCTGAGCATTGCTTGACCTTCAAAATATTCCAGTCAGTAAGCTTATGGTCATGAAAAGAGGACACAGGGAAAATTTATAAAATGAAATCTACTGGTTTAAAACCATCAACAGGCTTTTGAGTAGCATTTGATTCGTTTCTGATGAATAAAGTTCAATCCTGAGATGTACTAATCAGCAGAGTGAATCCTAAGAATTGTGTCAGTATCAGGATTCTTACTGTAATACAAAGAATGTAGGCAATGTTTGTCAACACAAATCTGTGTATGTTTTAAAGAGGAAACCTCTACCGCCCTCCTGAACTCCTGCCTCTTTCTTTAACATAACAGGGTTTCCAGCATCCTATAAGATTTGTGTTGTTGTTGCACAGAAGGAATTATGAATAACAAGGTGGGTGAGGGGCTCTTCTCCAAAGGTCTGCCCTAAAGAAATGCAAGGATGTGGTACTACATCCTCTCCTAGGTCCACAGACAGCATTAATTCCTGGGAGTGATCAGCCAGGAAGACAAAGTGTGGCTGCACACTGTGGACATCATGTTTTCTGACAATAGGTTTCATGCCTCATTTACCGTAAAAACAATTAGAGTGTAGTCAGCATCCACAGAGCAACTCACCATTTCTCAAAAGCAGAGGAAGCGCAGAGATAGCGGATGTCTGCCTGGTGGCTGACGCTTAAAATGAAGTACATGCGTGCTTTGTGGTGAATTTCCTTCGGCAGTCCCCTTCTTCCCAGTTGCTCATTTCAGAAATGTCTGCATACTCATGAAGGCGTCTTTTGATCTTTCCTTTCCTCTTCCTTTCTCCTTCCTCTCAATCTTATCCCTGGAAATGATGGTGTGTGCACTGCAGGAATGCTAAGCTGCTTCTTCAGGAGGAGCTGTTTATCCATTGTGACAGGTCTTTTGCAAAGTCATTTAAGTTTTGCCGAGTCAGCCACTGTTTGGATTTGTATCCCTCCACTGCCTCTTGTTTTTCTCTGCCGAGCCCCCCACCTCCATTTGTCCCTCCATTAATAACGAGAGAAAGCTAAAGCTCAGAGCTTCAGAGCAATGGCTCAATACCCACCGTGTTCTCCGAAATTATAGTCCTGTGTGCGTTAGCCTGGGCTCACCTTGGTACCTACATAAACTAGGTTTGTTTGACGCAACAACACTAAAAGAATAAAAATTAGACGTAGATCTTAGAAAAAAAATGTTTGATAATTTAAAAGGTGCTTGATATTCATTTTTAAAAGTACAATTTTGTTGTTTCGAAAGAGAAAATGAAATTAAGGAAGCAGTGTACGGTATACATATAATATTTACATATTATAGTTTTACTATTGAATCATTTTGTAGTTTTAAGTAATCCAGCTTTTATCACTGATTAGTAATGCCAGTTTATTATGTAGTATATACACATGCATGTACCTGGGTATATTTTTTGGATTTGTGTTCTGTTCCGTTAGTCTGTCTGCCGGAAACACATAGATTTTAATACTGTAGCTTTGTCATCTGAATGTATGATGCTGCAAACACCACCTCATTAGTATTAGTTTAAAAATGTGTTTCGCTACATTTCCTTCTTTATTTTCACTGATACACACTGTAATGAGTTGCTAGCTGCCAAAACCTAACCAGCTGGGATTTTAACTCAGGTAATATTAAAATTATAGATATTTTGGGTCTATTGACTGCTTGCCTATGTTACTTTTATAAAATTTGATATTTTTATTCACTTATTCAGATCTGCTTTGGTGTTCATCAGTATTGTAGGGATTCTTAAGTATTCTTTTTACATAGTTCCTGAATATATCGTAATAAACTTTTAACTTCAATATTTAAAAAAATTTTGTTAATCTAAAAAGTGTATTTTTTACTACACTGCTTCTAAGTACTTGTTTTAGTTATGTAGAAAATTTCTGGGTTATATATATATGTTTGTTTGTGACTTCAATGAACTCGGTAGTTATACCTGAAAGTATTTTCCATGGATTTTCCTATTTTTCTAGATAGAAAACAATATCATTTATATATTTAGACCATTGGCTTCACGTACTTCTTTTTCTTATTTTATGACCTGGGTTAGAGTTTTGAGACCAATGTGTAAGGCTGAGGATTTTATGAGCATCCTCACCATAAACCTAACTTCAAAATGAGAATGACTCTGCCTTTAAGAATTAAGTGAAATTATCTTGGTTTGATATTAATATTTCATCTTCATTATTATTTTTCTTAGCTTATTCATTTAACAAAGTCTGGATTAGTTGATTAATTTTATCAAAAGTTGCTTTAGCATCTAGAAAAACAACTACTTATTTGAATTAATAAAACATTATATTATGGATTTTCTAATATTCAGCTATCCTTACATTTCTGAGGAAAATGTATTTGGCTGTGACCTGAAATATTAGTTTAAGGTAGAGATTGAAGTTACATACTGTAAATTGAGGAATTGCGTGCCTACATTTGTGAGTGAGTGAAGTCTGTGTTTGGTCTCTGTTGTTCTATGAACTTGAATGCTTTAAATTTCCTAGGATACATTGCACCTTGAACATTTACTTATTACCTGCAAAATCGTCTGTGTTCCATTTATTTAAAACAAAAATATCATTTTTTCAATTTTAACTTTCCCAAATAAGAATTACCTATGGCATTTAAATTGTCTTGTAATCATGTTCAGATCATTTTAAAATTCAACTTTGTGTTTAATTACTTGCATTGCTCATCTATACCCGTTCTATGCAATCATGTCCTCATTCTTTTTTTTCGAATGTTGATTCATCTTACATGTTTTTCAGAGAACACCTTAAAAATAGTTTTTCTTTTTTTAATGTAAATCAGTGTTTTTTTTTTTCTTTTTGCATATTAATACGTATGTGAATAAGTTTCTCTTCTCTTTACCTAGGAATTCTACTTTCTCTGCCTAGAGATTTTATGGGTAACACATTAAAATAGTATAGACAGGGCCAAATTTACTCTGGTATGTAATCTTGCAGTAGCTAGCCTAATTTTTCTATAATATG